ATATATATATATATATATATATATATATATATATATATAAAATAATATTAACTTTTCATTTTTTTCTTCCAAAAATATAGAAAGATTTAATTCTTCAAGATCATTGTACAATATATTTTCAATGAAATATATTTCATGTTTATATATAAATTGTTTGATGTATAAATAAAATTGTTTTATAGAAATATTTTTGCTTAATTATCATTAATCTTTTCTTTTTTTTTTATCAATAATCTCTTCTTTATCAGCAATTCGTGCTTCATTAGCGGTTGTTTGCGTTTGCTTCTTCTATTGAATTATTATCCTATGACTGATCTTGCAGAGGTTCGATAATACCTTTCTCTATTGTTGATACAATAAGAAAATCACTTTTTATATTTAGATGCAAAATACCCCGCGGTATTTCTTCAAGAACGCTGTTCTTGTACGGCACAAAAGGAGTTTGCGTATTGAGTTGAAGTTGTGCAATTTTCAATGATGGAACTTCTTGAGGAATTTGAGGCTTTATTTCTTGCTGATCAGAGGGCCATTGATCATAATTAACAAGTATGCGTAATTTGTGAAATACCAAGAACGTCATTTTTATTGTCAGGATTGTTAGGAGCTATGCAAGACCAGGTATTCAAAATTAACTGACCAGGGGGCTGCTTGGCCCTGGTCTTAGTTGTATATTACTTAATAAGATATTTATTAATTCTTCTCTAATAAAATTCTTTAATCAAATTTTTTTGAAATCTCTTGAAATAATGATAATAAAATGAAATTAAGATAAAAATGTAAAGAAAAAAAATTTTAAGGAAAATAATTAAAATTCTAACTGTATTACTCACAACGATTAAATTCGCAGACTGCCGTAATAAAAATATAGCTGCGGGATATATTAGAGTAATCATTATTTCCATCATACGTGAAACTGCAGCAATGGAAAACAAGATGCCAGATAACATTAACAGAATTATAAGTTGGAAGAGGCCACTCAGTATCTAATAATACAAATATATCTATTAAATCACAGATTTAAGACAAAATTGGTTATTTAAATTTTATAATTATGTAATTTATTTATATATATTTATTTATTAAGATTTTAAAGTTTTATATATATGTACAAAACTATTGAATATTAATCATGATTCAATAAAAATAATTCTACATAAAAGATCCACATTGCCGGTATTTCTCTCGTTTCACAAATAATTTACAGTTCCATTAATTGCAGATCTCTTGTAGACCTATCGATCAAGATTCTTGTTCAATTCATTGCACTCAACATGAAATATATTCTGCATTTTTAATCTTGACTTTAGTTAACAAGTAAACTTAAATTTCTTTCAATTTTCTAAAAGGTTTCTATAATTTGACATGACATAAAAATAATACTAATTCATATTAACTCTAATAAACTATCTAACTTCACAGTGCACTTTCAAAAAAAAGAAACAAAAAAATTTTTAAATCACATATTTCAAAAATCGAAAATAAAATATCAAATTTAGTCATATCATAAAATCATGTATAAAAAACAATTATATTTAGATAATAAATGACAAATCTTCAATAAAAAATATAAATTATTTACAGAATATTATCTTGAATATTGTTGTGACGAACAGATAAGATATAACACAGTAAGGATATTTAAAAAAAATTCAGGTACTTTTCTATTACAATCATAAATAGTATTTTTTCAATAACTGTTTATTTTGAATTCTAAAAAATTATAGATCCAAAATTTTATTATAGAATTTAACTGCAAAGAATTGCCGAATGATCAAGAATGAATTGAGAGAAGGAAGATTTTGAGAGTAATTTGTCATCTTGATTTTTTGACAACGATTGTCGTAACATGTTTACAAGAGAAAAAAAAGGGGAAAAAACAAAAAGGAAGGAAGGAGAAAAACGAGAAATAAGGTAACTAAATTTTTTTTTTTGAAGAAAAATAGAGTATAAAAGATATTGGGCCTGGGTATAAGTCTCAGTAGAGTCCCTTAAACTACAAAGCATTTATAATCATTCAACCTTAATATAAAATTAAAAAAAAATGTATTTCAGAATAAGTGTTTATTTGTATATCTTATTAAATCTTAAATATTAAATTAATTTAATACTATTAATATATTTTATTTAAAAAGATAAAAATTTTTAGAAAGATAATGTTATAATTATTTTTCTTTCCAAGCTTTCCATAATTCAAGTTCCTGAAATTAATTATATAATTCATGTTAAAAAATATATATATTTAAAATATAATTATATACATAATTGTATATAATTGTATAAAATTTATACATGATTTAATTATATATTTATATAAAATCAATATAACTCACATTAGCAATTTCTTTATCATAATTCTTTTGGCAATTGTTCATAAAAATCACAGTTTCTTCCTCTGTTTTTTTGAACGTCTGCTTGAAATTCGTTCTTTTTCAAGCATTTTTCTTTGAAACAATTTTGAATTGTATCTAATGTAGCTTTCTGTACCTTTTTTTCACTATAAGGATATCATTGGAATTTAAATTTAATATTTTACTAATGCAGTTAATATAAGTTAATCAATTATAAAAAATTTTTTAAAGTATTTTAATTAAAAAAAAAATAATTTCATTTTAAAATTCATTTTAAATCTATGTGATACCTCAATAATTGATTATACAGATTACTCAGTGGAACTATATCTTCTTCATGATATGATTGTAATTTATTCTTTTTATCGTTCATTTGATCCTTGTTCATCGCTAATTTATTTTCCAATTCATTTTGTATTTTTTCCAAGGAATCAGTTTTTTTCAAGATATCATTTAATTTTGTTGTTTTGGTTCTAATGGTATAAAATAGAGAAATATGATATATATTCTATCGATAACTATTCACAAAAATACATATAATTCAAATTAAGTATTAAATATTATTATTTATTAATATTAAATATTAATAAAAAAATACTTTTGTTCTGTATATATATCTCTTAATACACTGAAGTCTTCATTTATTTCTTGAACAACATGTAATTTATCCTGAATTTGTTTTATAGTCTGTTTCTTTTCCTGAATAGCTTCCTGCATTATATCACGTGCTTCCATTTTTGACTCGTGTTCCTCCTTAATTTTATCTAAATGGATTTGATACTTTTCTGGTGAATGTACAATTTCTGCTTGTATCTCGGTTATCTTCTTAGATAACTAAAAATTATATTGTATACATTAAAAATGGATTGAGTTCATTATTATTAAATAGCAAGATATTTATAATCATTAAAAAAATCAAAATATAAAAAATATTTACCTCTGCTGCAGATATCCTAATGGAACCACAAAGTTCCTTAGCTTTTTGATTTTCTTTTTCCACATCAATTTTTATTACTTTAAGTTCTGACTTTCTTTTATTGAATTTTTCTACTTTTAACTGTACACATTGTATCTCATTTTCTAGCTAAAATAAAATAAATTCAGTTTTATTACTGTATAACAATAAACTAAAGCTAACATATATTTTATAATTACCCGTTCTATTTTAGATAATTCCTTTGCTTTGTGCATAACTTCATCATGATTAGAATCTAAAGTTTGAGCTTTTTTTTCTTTTAGTTCTTCTACTAGTTTAGATTTAGTTTGAATTTGATTCTGTCTATCATTAAATTCTGACTTTTTATGCATTGCATACAGTACAAAGTTTGAAATAAGTTTTACTTGCCTTCTAAATCGTTTTTGTCCTATAAAATTCATTTATGGTATCAGCAAAATATTATTACTATTAATATAAAATTCTTAAAAAAGTTATAAACTATTAATAAAAAAAATAATTACTAATAATTAATAAATAAATATAAAATATGTATACCAGGACTAGTAATATCGGTGAGACAAAAATCACTTAGAAATATTTTATCAAATATTTGTGCTACAATTGCATGTAAATTTGTCAAGTTTATTATATCAGAATCTTCATAATGTGGCATAGCAGTAAGTTGCTCTGCAATGGGCTATAAAATTTTATTAAAAATAAAAGAGTTATAATAAAATAAAAATTAATGTTTTGTTGTTTTTAAGATATATCATATTTTACAATATATGACATATACAACATATAATAAGCATGAGATCTTACCTGATTAATTACACCCAAATCAATAGAAAAATGTGATAGGAATGTAGTCAATAAATTTACAACATACTTTTCGGTTGGATTCTTAAGATCTTCAATGGTCGATGGCAACCCAGCATCTACTAAAATACGGTGAATCGTATTGATGGATAGATCCATGATGATAATCAATCTTGCCTCCAAATTAATTAATATATTAATCCTAAAAGAAAAAGATTAATATAAAATAAACATAATACTAATAAAAAATAAATACCAACAAAAATCAATTTTGAGAAAAAAATTAGCAAGAGAAAATATTATAACTCCTGAGTGTACAAATAATAATCAATAAGTCAATAAATAAAATATAAGTAACACATAACATATTAAGTCAAAATAAAATAAATATGTAAATTTACAAATTTAAAATATTGTATTTTGGACTACATAATCTTCCTTAAGAAAAAATTTATTATAAAAAAATTTAATATTAGAATATCATGTAAATATTAAATAAAAAATTAAAGATGAAAGGAAAATCAAAATCAATCTAATATTATTGCCTATAATAAAAAAAAAAATTCACAAAGCTCACTAAAAACCACATTGCAAAGACAGCAATTATAAATAACATAAAGAAAACTATATAGAATTCCTTTTCTTTATCGGTTTCAATAGACACAATTATTTTAATTACCTCGAATTTCGGAATATTCTTAAAAAAAATATTCAAAAATATTATGTTACATCAGCGTCTCGAAAATATATCGAGTTTTCCCCGGAAAGTATCGCAGCTACGTCTTAACTTACTTCGTAACTGTACGTAACGTAACGTTTTGAAATTATTGGGCATGTTCAAGCCGACAAAAGCTAGTTCCAAAATTCACTACCATTGCTGAAATTTATAGTTTACGTTACATACACTATACATTTCAGAGCTTTCAGAAACATATTGGGGATATATTCCAAATGGTAATGGTTTGGCTTATTTTTTTTCTAGATGTTGGCTGCTATGTAACTAAACCGAGAAGTGTTCCGAACTCTTCATACCTGCACAGGGAATCAATCATGTAACTTTACGTTTTCACTTTTCATTTTTCACTTTTTACTTTTCATTTTTCACACTTTGACATTTCACGTAAAACTTTTCACGTACAGCGATTATGTATGTAGATTGGATGCGTGGAAATCATGAAACATAGTTTCATAGATTTTATAGCTAATGAAAATTATTTTATTGGTACAGTATTATATACATCTTTTAATAACCAATTGTATATGTACTACGTACATTTAATCCTAACGCAGCCCTAATCTTCTCTAATTCCGAAGCATATTTATTAATTCCCTAGATTTCTGCCTTTCCGCCACCAAGGTACGAAAAAATTCAATTTCACATTTTCACGTTTGAGAGAGTTACATGATCCCGCAAAATCGTATATGATCGTAAGTTCACGTGAAACTTTTCACTTTTCACGCCCTAGGGGAAAAGTTACATGATTGACCCCCCTGATTGATGAAAACGAATAATAGGGAAAAATAGTAAAGGTTCATTCGCCATTTTATCTCCACTACTCATTTTTCACCAATCAGCATCTGTGTCAATGCGCTGATGTTTGCGTGAAGATCCAGGCTAACATTTTTGTCTTCAAAAAAGATATTTATTGGATATCTCAAACATTATATATCGGATGCCGATGCAGTGTGAATCCTGCATAACATCACTAGAATATGCCGCATGGCTGTCGTGACGTCACTGTAGTTTGCGTTACAATATCCGTGCCACGTATTTTTGCCGTTTGAGTATTCTACAAAAGTCGCACGAGCAACAATTAGTTTAATGTCTTTTACTTGCTCGTTTCGTGTGACTTAAGAAGCTTTCGGCAGAAATGGGATCGTCTCACAGTGTGGAGATACCGGGAGGCGGTACAGACGGTTACCATGTATTAAAGGTAGGATGATCTGTCAAGAGTAACTATCTCGGTTATCACCCTTTTGTAAAATCGCTCACGTACGAATATTGTAGGGTATATTGATGAAACTTACTGTAAAGTTTATTTTAAGCAGCGATTGTGTGTTTGTAAAAATTTGGATGGTTCCGCGATGGTGACAGAACTTATTTTCAAATTTAATGTATTGACTGTCAAAAGTGTCATAGCTTTTATCATTTTTGTTTTATTATCTCGCATTGCAGAAAATACTACAGATTATTCAGTTATTTTTCGGTGACTTTATGAACAATATTCAAAATCAAAACCTTCCTTGAAAAAAATGTGAAATATAGTGTTTGTCATAAGTGTATCAAGCTTTTTTATAACATTCTCTCAAAATCTGAATAGATTCACCAGACCAAAGCCCACTTAGAAATTAAATAACATGAATTAAATTATATTTTATTCTCGTGCTTTTAATGCTTTTTCTCATTAAAAAAATTGACAAGAAACTTAGAAGAAAAAAATATAAATGTTCTAAAATTACAATTAAGCTTGTCTTATAAATTGTTGATATAAAGATTTATATTAGAAATTAGGAAAAAGGATTTTATTCTAACAAATACAATTGAATTTATTTAATAATAAATGAATATGTTCTTTTTGACAGGTTCAGGAAGGTTCTCCTGGAAAACAAGCAGGACTCGAAGCGTTCTTTGATTTTATAGTGGCAATTGGGAACACTCGTCTAGTATGTATTACTTGTAATTTCTGCTCTGATAAAAATATATATTCTATATAGTTGTAATATAATTGTTGTATCTCTATTTTAAAATGTCATACATATGTTTCTCTTAGGACCAAGATAATGATACTTTGAAGGAACTTCTAAAGGCTGGTGTAAATAAAGAACTAACAATCACAGTGTACAGTAGTAAAACGCAGTCTGTAAGGCGAACAAAAATTATACCAAGTATGACATGGGGTGGACAGGGTTTATTAGGTGTTAGTATACGTTTCTGTTCATTTGAAGGTGCTAATGAAAATGTTTGGCATGTACTTGTGAGTATAGATCTATATATAAAAATCTTAGATTGATTTTATATCAATCTAAGATTTTATGCAATTTTATGCAATATTATACAATGAGAAGACATTATCGACATTTGAATAGGAAATACATCCATCATCTCCTGCTGAATTAGCCGGTTTACGACCATTTACCGATTATATCATCGGGGCAGATTCTGTTCTCCACGAAAGCGAGGATTTATTTACCTTAATAGAAGCGCATGAATCACGACCTCTTAAATTATATGTATATAACACTAAAGATGATTCCTGCAGAGAAGTGATTATTACGCCCAATAATGCTTGGGGTGGGGAAGGAAGGTATATAATTTTTTGCACAATATTTTGGATTCAATAAGATTATTTTGCACAAGTATGCGCGTGCGCGCGCGCGCGCGCACGCACACACACACACACACACACACACACACACATTAAATTATTCCTATTTTTATTCAACAGTTTAGGATGTGGAATTGGATATGGTTACCTGCACAGAATACCTGTGAATTTATACATGGTAAGAAGTTGTATTATATAACATTTTTACATTTTATATTTAGATAAGCTGAAAATAAAAATATATACATAATTAATAATGTTATTCAATATTTTCTTTATATTTTAGTAGTTTGTTATTACCGTGAATATATTTTTCCGTTTTAGAATACTCCGAAGACTGCAATGCAAACTCAACCAGCAACAACAACAACTACTACCATTACTGTGGCGGAAATTAATCCAATTGTTAGTACACCATCTGGATTACCTATTCCGCCAAGTTATCTTGCTCCGGCGGATAATTCGATGAAAAATTCAAAAAACGACCAAGAAACTGTGTTAACTCAAAGTATACCTGGACCAAGCATACAAACTCAACCGGCAACTCAAGTTAATTTCACTGGTGCTATCGATGGTTACACACCGGTCAGTTCAGTCCCTCATACGTTTCCAAATCAGACCACTACTAGTTTCACGCCCAGTAAGTACAATCAGATTTTATTTTTATATATTTTTTTTAAATTGTATCAAATTATATTAAATATAAGTATTCTTGTATTTTTTGTATTCGTATTGCAAAGTTAAACTAAATTTTCAACGGTTAAAAAAAACCAGAGAAATAATCCTTTTTTTTTAATGAAAATTAAAACATTAATTTGGAAAAAATAGCTGCAAATGTTTCTCATATCTTAATTAAATATTTCTCGGTCAAACGTATCAATTAAAAATTTTATTAAATGTTTAAAAGTTTTTTTATCTTTACATTATGTGATTTTTATCAGAAAAAACAACAGATTTTATAATTACATTATTTTAGCTTTTAGTGATTTAAACCGTTGCTAATTTATTTATTTAATTGTTTAGGCACTTATCCAATAACTCCAAACATTCCTGGTATGCCAACTATCACACCATTAACAATGAACGTTGTCAATCCTTATGAAGTTTCAACCGGATTGCCTGGACCAATTAGTGTTCCAGGACAGCAGAGAGAACAGAATCCTATTCATGGTACGACTACAATCAATGTCCCAGTATTGCAGAGAGAGCCTGTTCCTAGTGCGACCACTATGGCTACTGGATTTAATATGCCTCAGTCTCACGTTGTGACGACACCCATTTCACTGCCAGGAATGCCGCCTATCACAGTCACCGCCTCTCTCCCGCAGGATACTCCTTTTTATCCATCTGTTCTTCAACAGAATCAAGTACCAACTGATATCAATACTACTACTGTCGCTCCAACGATGACGTCACCAACGTCCATGCAGTAAAGAGTACAGATCTTTAAAAATCAAGTAAATAAAAGAGAATATAATTTGCACTTTAATAAAACATATTTTTAAGCATGCTGGGCAAGCTAAATTGGATTTTTTCGCCCGATCTAAATCTATGGGTCAGAGATAAGACTAATGGTGATACCATCTGATGTTATATTTAAGATTGTCTTAGATTTGGTCTTAAGATTCTATTCAGTTAAACGAAATGACTATACATCTTGAGATGGTATTCAAGACGATCTTAAAGTATAAAATTGAACCATGAGTACTGTTTTAAAAATGGTATTCATTTCTTGGTAAATGAAAATTTCTTCTTTATTATATGTGTATATATATAAAAATATATTTTGATACATATATATATGTATATATACACACATATATATATATAAATGAGAAATTGCTACACTTATCAAAGAAAGAGTAAATTTCAATTTTTTAAATAAGTATCAAGAATGTGATGCATAATAAATTTTTTAATGTGTGTACTAATATGTATTAAAGAAAATAGTAATGTAATATTGTACATAAATAAAATAATTACAAGATCCTAATTATACTACATTGCAGCATAAAAAAATTTGTCATACTTATTAACTTTCTATATTATCTATAATTTTTGTTATATGAACTTAATAATTGATATATTTGATATTTATCTAATAACATTATATATTTCTATGTTTGTAGCATTTTTTATTTCGATAAAGGCTGCAAGACGAAGATTGCAAAAATTATGAATTTGATCTCCAAGTTGAAAGAAAGATTTCAATTCACAAAAAAGTAGCGTTTATTATATATTATTCTTAATTAACATTATATACAAGTACTAGATCAACATAGGCAGACAATAACAACATCTGACATACAAAGTTCTCAGTGTTGTTAAAATATATTATTTAAATGATAATCTCTACATCAACTAATTCTTCCTCAGTTGGCAATGTTATTTTTGATGGATCGATGAGATTGGGATCGATAGGAGGAAGTCCATTTTCCTCTCTGTAACGGAGTTGCAAATACGCCTCTCGCTGTGCCCAGTCTTTGCCTCTGACATCCGGTAAATAAGCCATAATAGTGAATCCAACTACCATGACTATAGTTACACAGACAAACATGGTCTGATGCAGGGCATGCCGATCTTCTGCCTCGTTCTCTTGGCTGAAGCCATAACTCACCCACTTCCTCTTAACAGGCTTCGTTTCGTTAGAAATGTCATAACATTTCGGTGTCATCGCTATCCTACGACACATCATCGTCTCTTTGGACGACAACAAAGCTAACCCCTTACGCAGACTTTGCACGCAATTCGTACGGAATAACGCTGCCATCGCTCTCGCGTTTTTGAGTTGCACGATAACTATCACGAAGAATCCGTGCACAAGCTATGTTATGTGAACAGAAAGTACTGAGCCCAGAAAAAGATGGAGAGAGAAATTAGATAATATCTCTTCAAATATATTCGCACTGATTCTTGCGAGTATACATGTGTTTAACTCCAAGTTAGATTAAGTTAAGTTAGATTAAGCCTTAAATCACAAGACAGATTTCGACCAATCAGAAATATCTCCGATCTCTTCATAGCTTCTAATTGGTCAAAATCTGTTGTCTGTTCCCTATTCCCTGTTCCCATTGGGTGCTTTCCATTTAGTCGACACAAGTACCGTTCTATCTTTCCTGGGTTTCAATGATTAACAAGGATAAAATGATACTTGTGTCGATTTGTGTCACTAAATGAAAAGCACTCATTGCCTGTTGCCTAGGATTGAGAAAGGCCCTTAACTCCCGTACAGGCCTATTCAGGTCTTAAGACTGACTGTCTTTAAAGCCTATTGCACAATGCAAAAACATAAGAACAAGAATAGCAACAGGTAACAGATTTTGATTAATCAGAAATATCTCCGATATTCTTTCACAGCTTCTGATTGGTTGATATCTGTTGCCTGTTGCTATTCCCTATTCCTGTTTCCTGTACGAGAGAGGAACCTAAGAGCGGCCACGCCGGCCTTTTTCGTGATACCGTAAAAATCGCCGTACACTACCGCCACCAACGTCTATAATTGAGCCGTGGAACTACAAATCACATCTATTTTGCGACACTGCCGATAAAATCATATCT